ACAATTTCTAAAGGAGGAGCAGAGGAAGATGAACATACAACTTGTCTGTGCATGCGTTCTCTGGGTTTACTTTTAGAAATTGGCGTGGATATTTTTCCGTGAATTTTTTCATTGGACATTTTTTTATGAATATCATGAAGCGACAGGGCGAAGTGGTAAGGTCAGTGCTGGAATGAGGACGCATTGTGTGAAGGCCCAGGAGTATCGCCTTTTCCTGCCTTTTATACAGCCAAGTTGTCTCTGTTGCATCATTTTTGCCCAGGGAGATTTGCATATAATAAAATGAGTCCATAAGTTCCATAAGAGGCCGTCCCAGGAGCAGATGGGAGGACCAGGTTCTCAACGTGCTGGACAGTTTGGGGGTCAGCAGAACAGACTGGAGAGTGCTGGCGGAAAACAGAACATCCTGGAGGGACATGGCTACAGCCGCTATGCATCTACTCTGATGCCTGCGGCTTGATTGATTGATTGATTGATCATAAGTTCCACAGTACAATTGATGACGTACATTAAATTGGAACAACCAAAACAAAATTAACATATTGTATTTCTTATTATGATCTACTCATGTGATTTTCGAGTACAATGTATCCTGGAGGATTTTCGAGTACAATGTATCCTGGAGCCCTAAATTGACCGCTTTTCCCCAAACATTCTACATTTCATTTCAAAGGTATATATATTTCATGACCTACATTTCAACGCAAACCTAGCCTCTGAGCTTTGCGTGGTGGTGAAGAGCACCTAGCGTGAAGCCCCGAAGACAACTCCACGATAGGACTGAATACGGCCGCCTTGGTTTACGTCTGAGTGCACCGATCGAAAGCGGCTTCTAGCAGTTTGATCGAAGACTGCACCATAATGTTGGCTTAGCTATTACGGTCGAAGGACACAGTATAAATGGGCGACCCCCGGAGTCTGTGACGTGTTATACAAAGTAGTGCAGACAAAATTCTTCAAGCATAACTAGATCGTGTTATGTGAGAGGTGTCCAGGAGTAAACTTCACTGTGTGGTATGATAATATGAGGGAGTTTAGACTGTAGGATTTGGATTATGAAGTTTTCCCTGTTTTTGGGTATAAATACGCGGCATTACGCAACTGCGTTCCAGGGTGAACCGGCTGCAGTCCAGTTGACCTCAGAATAGTCATAGTGTGTTGTGTGATTGAGACAGCTCTTTTGTGGGGATGTGGGTGGCCTTGAAAAAGGCCGGGGTTATGTCGAGCAGCGGCGATCGATCTACTTGGAGCTGGTGTACTTGGTGACGGCCTTGGTGCCCTCGCTGACGGCGTGCTTGGCCAGCTCGCCCGGCAGCAGGAGTCTGACGGCGGTCTGAATCTCGCGGCTACTGATGGTGGAGCGCTTGTTGTAGTGAGCCAGACGGGAAGCCTCGGCGGCGATGCGCTCGAAGATGTCGTTGACAAATGAGTTCATGATGCCCATGGCCTTGCTGGAGACGCCGGTGTCGGGGTGCACCTGCTTCAGCACTTTGTAGATGTAGACGCCGAAGGTCTCCCTCCTCTTTCTCCTCCTTCCCTTCTTCTTGTCTCCGACCGGCCTGGCTTTGCCAGCTTTCTTGACGGCTTTTCCACTTGGCGGCATGGCGATATTCTTGGCGATTTAGACAGCAAAGAATAACTGCACCCCTTCCGGCTTTGTCTTTTATATCGGGGAAGAATGCAAATTGTTGGATTATCTAGTCCAAGGTGCGGACGTGGTAGAAATGAACTCGCGGCAATAAGCTCGTCCTATTGGTTCGCTGTCGATCCAGCAGCAGGGTACAAATTGGTTGGGCAGACGATTGTGCCCTTCATTCATTCTTTCTCTGCCGTTTGACGCTAATCAATCGAATATACTACAAGATGTCCGGACGTGGTAAAGGAGGCAAGGCACGCGCCAAGGCCAAGAGCCGCTCTTCCCG